TGAAGAATGACTCACCTCAGATTTCTTAATAATGAAAGAGGGACCAATAGTCTGACCTTTCTCTGATTAATTAGTTTATATTGATACTCTCAGTGTTATTCTGGAGAAATTCCAGCTGAGCACAATATATGTATGTGTATAATATGTGTTTGTCATTGATTTTAATCCTTAAAGGAAACATTTTACAGTCTTAGTAGACAGAAAATAACATATTATGATAGTCAACTAATGACTGTGTGTACAAATAGAATTATAAACATAGTCTGACAACAGGAATGTTTCTTTAAGCGTCACACGTAAGCCATAAATTATCAAGCGATTTAAATGAATAATTGTGTTTTTATTGCACAGATTATGCCTCCTTCCCCTCACTAGCTCGGCTCAGAAGCCCGGGAAATCTATTAAGGCGATGCCATAGATCATCCCATCCGCCACAGCGTGTATGTAGATCGGCCAGCTCATTTGAGAAATATTGAATCGGTTACAGTAAAGTAAGCCCCTGGATTGAGTCAAATGTAAAAATCCAAGCATGTCAGGGGAGCTGTCAGTGTGCGCTGTGATGACAGATGGGGTTGGGTCTCTGTTTTAGTGAGGGGTGGTAAAAAGACGAATTATTAGTTCTGGGGGTGGGGGGTAGAAGTGTAGAGAGAGGGCGAAAGGGGAGTCGGAGACAATTGGATCAGATCTGTCAGCTGATAAGAGCAATCAGTTAATTAAGGAAGGCTTGGGACGGTGGAAAGTGTTATTTCCTCCCAGAGATGGGGTCAGCGAGGGGTCAAGAGTGTGACCTCTGACCCCATGCAAGAGGAGAGCGAGACACCAGTCAGTCTGTTATTGATGCATGCCACTTACTTTGCTATAGGAAGCATCATTCAACTCCAAATGCAGTGAATTTTACAGGAAAACTAGAATCAAAATGTATATATATATATATATATATATATATAATATATATTATATATATATATATATATATATATATATATATATATATATATATATATATATATATATATATACAAAATTAATTTCATATATAATCAAACGGCATATTACTTTTTAGGGCTATTAGACAGAAAGATTTATGCTCAGAAATAAATTATTAGATTGAACACAAACACATAAAACATGAATTAAATGCAATATTGCAATGTTCATGATCATAAGTCTCTGTAGCTGGTTGGTAGTTCTGCTTTTAAAGTTGCCATGACTGCGGTTCAAAACGTTTGGGTTGAAGATGTGAGAAATTTCTCAGGGTCAGATAGTGAGGGTATTTTCAATGCCCTCACTATCCTTTCCATGGTCCTATTTTAAGCTTGAAAACTACTTTCACATGCAGTATGTCAAAACAGTCTCAATACCACAGTCCTGAGTGCTGTGAGGACGAAGGCAGCGGAGGATTCTTTCACCATGTGAGGTTATCTATGCGCTTTATTTCACGCTGATGCTGTTGTTGTGACCTCCATAAGAGTTAGAGGTCACCGTTCACTGTACTGAACCATCATTCCCATGAAATCCCAAGATTCACTCCTGCTACTGTGGCATCAACTCCAGATTCGATGATCAGATTTTCCGATGATCAAAATGAAAATGTTTGCGTCGTTTATAGTTTCATCTACACTGCCTCTAGGTTTTTCCTGACACAATTGTTTTTATTTTCTGCTTTTTGTCTCGGGGACATCAGACATGACCCCCCTCTGCTGCTGACCCTTGGCTCAACTCCTTCCACACTCTGAAATGCTAAGGTGTGATGTTCTGCCCCATTCCCAGATAATTTTTATGGTCTTCAAGCCTCGCTTTTTATGGCTCTCTAGTTTGATAAAAGCACATGAAGAAGTCAGTCGCAACCGAGCTTCAAAGAAGCCATGGCAGGACTGTGAGCATTTGTTTGTGTTATTATCCAGCCCTAGCACCAGTTTATATTTACATGAAGAATCAGTCTGTGAATGAAGCAGAATGGATGCTTACAAAAATGTTTCCAACATTGTAATTGCTATATGAGGGACAGGCTGCATCCACTGAGCTTAAATTTGAAGAAAGCAAAGAGTTCAAAGTTCATTTTGACATGAAAAATGGAAGGAGGAAGCTGTCTGTCATGGTAAATGTCTGTTTTCTTATTTTATGTGTCTATTTTCAAGCATAAAGAGAGCTTGAATACAAACACCTTCCTTTACAGTTTCAATTTCAAAATCTATTCCAACCATAAAAAACTTTTCACTGTTACTCATTTTGTCTTTTCATTTGAAGTAATTTTTAAAATTTTCAAACATTTTTTTTTGTGATATCTCAAATATCTATTCAACTGAACTTTTTTAATTTTATGGTCATTAAAAAGAGAAGCACCTCTGCTTTGCTTTGAATTAAAGCGGTTTAATTAAGTCACAGGATCTCCTCCTCTCCGATTCTTCAGGCCTGTGAGTCAGCTGGCCTCTCTGCCCCTTGGTTTCTCCCTGTGTGGGAGGCTGCTGGGTTGGCCTGAGTGGCTGGGAAAGTCCCGTGATTTATGGCCCTTTGCAGGCCTGATTGCCTCTCTGATGATGGAGCCAACGGTAACCAGGCCCCTCTCGCTCCGATCCACTTTGTGTTTGGCAAATCAAGTTTAATTCATTTGAGATTCAAGGCCTCTTTACAGCAATTGCAATATAATTCACATGCTGTTGGTGCTTAAAAAGGTAAAATAAATAAATAAATATTTGTCGTGCTTCCTTTCAAACTTTGCAAAAAGCAATGAAGGTCTCCATTCTGTAAGGAAAGAACAGCTGTGGATTAATATTTACCTGGTGAGTGTTTGCCCCGGCCAAGAGTCTCAGGTTGCTGGATCAACAAAAATCTAAGATGCAACAGCAGCAAACATGGAAGCAGAACATGGGACCAAAGCCCACATTGATGGCTGAATCATTATGAGGCCCATTCTGAGAGGTTATGCACTTGTCCCGGTCTACATCAGGGGCCTGGGCAGCTCTAGCATATTAAAATCAGCCAACCTTATATATGGGGACGGACTCACACAATGCACACACAGCACCAGCAGCAGGGCAGTAACTCAAGGCCAAAGGAGGAGGGTTATTTTTATCATGGGCAAAGGTGCCAAATCATGTTGGTATGAAGGGGGCTATATAAATGCAAATTGTATCGGTGGGCTATTAGTCCTGGAAAAGGTTTGTATGTAAATGCCCCTATAGGACCACAGAGGCGCACTCATCCAGGTCAGATTAGCTGGGCTTGTGGCAAATGTGCTGCTAACAGACATAAGCGAGAAAGAGAAAGAGAATGCGATTGCCTTGTGGTAAATCGTGGAGAACAAGGTGAGAATTTGAGTAATTCAATGGCCAAGATCTTTCTGTACGATTTACTGCACAGGTGAGAAAGACGTCTTGAAACCAGCTTCTTTGTGGACACCAAGGAAAAGGGGTTTTCACACTGAATCTCTTTAAGATGTTTAGCTTTCTGCATTAAACCAGGAACTTAACTGTGAAACTCAAGGGACAAGTTGAGAAAGCAAAACATTAACAAACACATCTATTGGATTTAATGGCAGAAATATGCTTTATGTTTGTAAATAAATAGAAACTGTTTTATACTACATTTGAAAAACTTTATGATCATGAAAATTAAATCAGCCATTGCAAAAAAATAAAATAAATAAAATAAAATAAAATAAAAAATACCATCACGCTGATTGAGAACAGGATGTGATCACTGGAAATCATGTGTGGTGGTGCAACGTCGCCCTCTAGTGTTCACAAATGAGTCATGCCAGCTTCAACAGGTTCTTTAAAACTCAAAAGTGAATCTTTATTTATAAAACTAATAAAGGACCTACAAAACAATATTACAAATATCTAAACAAAACTGCACTTACAGTACAAGGTCTGAGACAGCAGGTGACATCTTCATTGGTAGTATATTGGCTTTTTTTTTTTCACTGGTAAGATTATGTTTTGTAAAAAACAAAAACATATTGGCAAGAGTAACAATTAGAAAAACTAACACACTCTGCTGCCGCCGCATAGCGTTCTCAAAATTACTGCATAGATCAAATATAAAGTGCTTATGTAAGTTGGTCATTGGTCATCTCTTCCGAAACTTTATATTTCTGCAAACCCAGGTCATCCCGTCCTGTTTGATAAAGGTGAGAAAAGAACCAAAATTATTCATTATATTGGTACAGAACCTTGTCAAAGTAAAACTCTGTCAGTTTTTCACATTAATCTCAATAGCTTTTAATTAAATTTTAACTGTGGCAAACATAAAGTAATGCATCTTTTGCGATGCGATAGTTTTACAAATGAAATCCTAATCCTCCTCACAGCATGTTGTTGCTATACTACCATGACTTAATGTGCAGTGTTAGTTTTCCTCTACACAAAATGTTTGAATGCATTCATAATCTGGTCTCATCTAACCAGAGCAACTTCTTCCATGTTTCTTTTCTGGATCCATGATTTAATTTATCTTGCCCAGAAAAATATGTTGAAATCTGAACTCATCAAGTATAAAGTGCTAGCTCATAGTTCCAGTCCACATTTAGCTCTAACAAAGAGATTTAATTCTGGCTTTGTTAGCAAGAATTAAAGCATTCGTGGAAATCTTTCTCTCTTTTACTCCAAATGTATGTTACAAAACAGGCTATTCAGCAAAAATTTCCTCATGGGGGTTGGATATTGTTTTAGAAACAAACTGTGATTTAACCTCTTGACCCCTGAGCCTCACACTCAAAGTAAATTAAAATGATTGGATTATGTTTTAATGCAATCAGGAATATCACTAAAAGTTGCAATAATAATAGGATGTTGCAGTTGTGACCCTGCATGATCTTGAGAAAATTTCATGAGACCAGCACTTCCAAGAGCGATCAGGTAAAAATGTAGCATAGGCTGAGGCAAGACCAATACTTTGAAAATGTGTAAGACCAAGGCCACTTTTGAGTACCACAATGTCTGAAGTTTATATTTCTTTAATAAAAAATTGTGACAAAGTTCAAGGCGTGTAAAGGAATTTGTAAACCTAAAGGTACGTCGAGGGCAAAGTAACCAAAGTTACAAGACACGCTTCCAAGGTTTTTGTGACTTGACCTCTTCATTGCTATTGTAGGCAGTATCACAGTAGTTCTATTTAACGGCAGGGTATTTATATCAGTAAATTGTAAATACAGGCCAAACTGGAAAGCTACCATGAAAATTGTATATGATTAACAGAACTCGTCATATTTCCTCTTATTCCTATGACGTCAAAGCAGCGAATCTCCCTATTCTGGATTCAAAAACTGACCACAAAACACAGTTGTTATTACTAAACAGCTCACTCCGTCTCGACCTCTGCTTATTGCACACTATGTTTGCATACCACACTGTATTTACCTGCACTCCTTCTGCAGTGAGTGCTGAGCAGGCCTGCACCTGCCACATGCGATCCCGGATTGTGTGCAGGTTGAGACTCTCCGCCAGTTCCGACGCCGGAGAGGCTGTCATCAGGTCCTGCTTGTTGGCAAACACCAGCAGCGGCACAGCTGCAAGCTTTTCTTCTTCCAGCAACTCGGCAAGCTCCTGAGGGTAAAATAAATGAAAACGGATATGCTTTGGTGGACGTCTTAGCATATGCTGTAGTTGCATAAAGTTTTTGCCAAGTGGACCCACTCCTTAAATTAAGTTCTTTATGTTTGTACTTTCAGGATGGTCTCTGGTGAATACCTAATCTAAATTTCTGTTTGTGTTGCACTTTTTTTCAAGCAAAAGTACATTATGTCTCACCAAACTTGTCTCTTCGAATCTTTTCCTGTCTGAGCTGTCAATCACATAGATCTGCAATCCAGAAAAAGAATATATTAAAGTAACATTATAAAAACTTACCTCTCAGTCAGCAAACTGAAAAGTATTTAAAAGTCAATCCTGGCTGAAAAGCTTGTACAACAATCATGTTTTCAGCTTGTTTTAAAATCATTCCCACCAAAAACAAGAAATATTGAACCATAACCAACATTATAGATGGTGGTGGTAGCATCAAGATGTGGGCTGTTTTGCTGCTCGCAACACTGGTGCCTTGCATAGAGCTTTTAGGAATAGAAAAAATTTCAGTCTGAAAAAATAACTGCGGAAATTGATTTTTAAAAGCCCCAAATTAAGATGACACTCATGTCCATGATTAGAGTATGTAAACTTCTGACCTGCAGAAGAAAGAATTACTTTTTTCTATTGCTAGAGTTTATGAGAACATCAGACTGAACCTACCAGTACATCGGTGTTCTCAAAATAATTCCTCCAGTAAGGACGAATCTTCCGTTGCCCTCCAATGTCCCAAACGTTTAATTTGAACCCAGAAGACTGCACACTCTTTATATTGAAGCCCTGGTGAAATACAACATAGATTAAGTTTAATGGGTAGTTCAGCCTCTCGCTAAGGAGGTGAGCTGATGTATGACCTGACCGTCTGACTAGAAAATGAAGGAGTGGATTCTCACAATTTGACATAAACAGAATGTTTCTGTGTGTGCGTGTGTATCACTGTACTTGTGTGGGGGTGATGTGGCTGATATCTTCAGCTGCAAGCTGTTTGAGTAGCATGGTCTTGCCGGCATTGTCCAACCCTAACAGCAGTAAGCGCACCTCCTGCTCTGGTGACTGCTTTAGTCTTCGAAGAATAGACAGCAGGCCCTACAGGAGGATCACGGCGTATTAGAGACAGTTAAACCTCAGTGGGATGAGAGTTAATGAGATGACTTAGCAGTATCTTGCAAACTTTGAATAACCTCATAAGCCAGTCTGGAAAAATCAACTCACTCAAACAACAACTAAAACATCTACAACATGTCTGTAATAAAGCTTTTTTTTTTTTGGATCCGTTAGAAATGTCCAAATGATCAAAGACTGCTATTTAATTTAATTCTGTATTCTGTTTCTAAGATGCCAAGATTAACAAAAGCCTGAATACCAAGTGGGAAAGTCTAAGATTTCTTTCCAAAACCTGTCATCAAAATTCAATATGGCATCATGCACAGAAAATTAAGAGATATCTGTGGTTCAAATAATTTATTATTCTCCTTAATGCTTCCACACTCGACTAAACTAGCTTACTTAGCTTGGTAAAAATGTTTAAACATTGTTAGAAAGAACAACATACATAGAAAACTGATGTTAGTTTGCTTTGCTAATAGCAGTAAGCCTGGTCACTGACCAAATCAACAATAAACATACCAAACTGGGGTTTGAGCTTGAAGCATTGAACAGGAAGCTCATTAAGATGGTTTAAGATCTTATTTCAAGATCTACTTCTAACTCCAGAGGTAAATGGAGCACAAGTAGCCACTGGTATTTCATCTGGTTCAGATTGCACAAGGAGTTTCTCAAAATGTTCTCCTTGGCACTTTTAAGAACATTCTCTTCAAGTAAACATTGCTGTGTTGAAACAGCTCATCATTTTGAATGTTAGCATTCATTAACTTTACATCACAGTTAATTTATTCACATTTACATTACAAATAACTGGCAAAATCATTTCTTTCTCTACTACTGTAGAGGCAACCCATCCACCAGTGGTACTAATAGCATAGGTTGAGAACCATGGATGAAGAGAGCAAAGGATTTAGCTGTTAGTCTATAAAGTCGTCTAAAAATGTACCAGAAGCTCAAAGACGCTCTGCAGTCCACTGAGATTAGGCAAGTGTAGAAGGCAGAATGCTAGGCTTTGATTATAGCAGAGCGATTTGCTGCTGCAGAAATGCTTGGTAATCTGTGGACTAAATGTACTAGATATTTCTAGGCATAAGCATTATACAAGTATTTAATTTTGCTAATTTATGTTTTTTTTGTGTTTTTTTTACGTTTTGTGATGGTGGTTTTCTGAGTTTGGAGAAATCTAATCTGGTTAACTGCCCTTTTATCACTGCAGCTTTGACTTTACAGTCACAGTTACTTAATTGGGTAAGTATTATCGTGTTAGTTTATCCAGAAGGATATCTGATACTATTTACCAAATAGATTCCTGAACTAAAGCTAGCACTGAGAATGGAAAAATACCCCAAGTGTTTATGACAGCCAACAGAATCATCTCTGGCCTCGTTGACCTTACCAAGACATATTTAGAAGTCCAATAAATACCGCAGAACTAAATCAGTCTGTAGCTACTAGAAACATGAGTTAGGCAGGCCAGGTTTTAAATATCTCCTCCTGCTGATAAGAATTGAGATAACTCACCATGGTGTCCACGGGTCCTTTTGCGGTTGTTACTGAGCCTGAGTGGATTAACATCTTCCTCACCATGTGTCTCGGCTGAACAGCTGCCAAGTTTTTGTTTCCAGGGAAACTCTGATGTCTGCGTAAACAAAACAAAAAAGGATCCTCAAAGAATCAAAATGATTTTTTATTTTTTATTTTGTGTCTTGCAAAAACCTATTACAGCAATAGGGACTCTCTCAAATGTCTAAATAGTAGTAATGAAGAAAGATTGTGTTTTCAAATTGGATTTTTGAATAGGTTTCACTTTCATTAGAAGAGTTATATGGAAACAAAACAAATATTTTAACACAATATTTTTGCATTACATAATTTTAATGAGTTGAGATGTCTGTCAAAACTATATCTATTACTTTACTTAATGATAGTAGTATATGAATATTATAATTATCTTTCATTATTTTAAAAAATATATTATTATTATTATTATGATTGTATTAATGTCATTGTCTATTATATTTAATTTGTTTATTTGATATTTAGTAATTATTTGGTTTGTTATTATTCCTGCTCTCACTATTTCCAATAATCAACCATTTGACAATATCTCTTAGCTTTTGTGATTTCTTTATTAATCTAGCTTCTTTTAACAAATAAAATATAAAGCATATGTGCACTATTATGCTTTAATTTATGTCTAATGTTTATGTGATCACATTTACTGGACAGAATTTTTTTCAAAATATATTTTAAAGACGAGGAATTTTTTTTATTTCCTGTTTTCTAGAGTCTAATTAAGTTTACCTACAGTGGTAATAGATACAGAAACTTTGATCCGTTTCGTAAAATCTTGTTTTTAATTTGGTTTTTCAAACACTTACACACAGCGCCCCCTACAGGTTAATGCCCGATCCAGGTTCATATCCGTACTGGGGAGTGTTTCTCCGTCAAACAAAAACATGTCTGAGTGTGACAGGCTGAACCGTTAGTTAGAAGCTTTCAGCCATCCGCTGTCACTGCCGCTGGTCGTCGATCCGACCGATTGCTTTATGGTTCCTGTCGTGTCCACGGCAGATAACCCAGAGAGATGCCACAGAAAGCACTGGGATCCATTGTAGGTCTTCTTTGTACCGGGACCTGTCTGGTGCAGGTAAGCCCGTATTGTGAGCTCACCCTGTCGGCGTAAGCTTCCAGCCCACACCGCTGCTCCGGGGCTCGGTGAAGGCCTGCCTGCGATTCTTTTTTGTCTCCTCCACAAAGGAAACGGGGCACGGTTCGCTTCTGTTTGCCGTGGATGACGTCAGTTAGCAAAAGTTTCCCTTCATATTTTAAGAGTTATTGTGAAAACGAGAATTGCTTTCTGTCTAAAGTACATTCAGAATGGCGTTTCAATGGCCCATTTCGAGAGTTAGAACCGAAGGTGTTAAGATTAACGCTAGCGGTTTTGCTAACGGGTACCCGGCGAATCGACATATTTATTCATAGCTGCTGATGTTAGCTTGGCAGACTGAGTAGGCAACTTATTGACAGAACATTTCTCCATAAATAAATATTTTAACTTAGCACAAGCAATTTGATAAGAACGAGACATCATTCAAAGGTAGTCTACAGTATAAACATATTTGAAACAGCTAGATAGTAGTTAAACAATAGTTGTGACAGTGAAGGAATTTCGTTTTCGCGTATTTTCTAAAATCTTATTAGCATAAAAAATAAAGCCAGCTGAAATGTTTTTCCCCAGAGCCCCTTTTAAAGCAATTGTTGTGTATTAATTTGGCCTTCAGCTAAACGAAACTAATGTCACTCAAACAGCACAATTTCTTTGTAATTTTAAACAGCGTCGTTTCATGTTTTAGCTGCTGCTTTTATTTGACAACCTACTGATTGCTAGGTGTTAGCATTTTTGGATTTACCACAAGAAAGTACATTTTATATACTTAAATGTGTAGTTGACAGACATGTCCAACTTTATAGAAAGTGACATTGAAGTGACAACGAGCAAGGACAAGCTTGCTGGCCTTGAGTTTTTTTTTACTTTTCTGCTGGGATATTTACTCTGTTTTCCTCTGTGTCTACCTCTCCTGTGTACTGAAGGGAAAAGAGTTTTGTTCGGGGGTAAATAATGAACAGTACCGCTGCGAGATGGGTTACTGCTGTGGGGAGACAGAATGCTGCACTTACTACTACGAACTATGGTGTAAGTACAAATGTGTAGTGTGTGTGTGTTAATTGTTTAATGTGTGACTACTAAATGATAAAAATATAAATTTTTTGTCACTATTGGTTCTCTGGAGGGACTATTAAATTCCATATAGAACCTGCTTTGTGATTGAATCAGGCGTTTCAAGGTTTCTTTTCAGTCTAAAAAAAGTATGGAGTTTAGTGTTTCAAAGGGCTGGACAAGTATGGAAAAGTATTTATATTTCCAGACATTTCACTATATCCCATTTTCTGAAAGTAGTTGTGCTCATTCAAACCATCCATCAATCATACCACTATCCTTGATTGCACCTTTATTAATCTCTATTACCTATCTTCACTTGCACTCTTTCTTTTCACTATCCATCCTTACATTATATTGACTGACTGTCAATTAATTATGGCATCATTCTGTTCATTCAGAAGACAAAAGTCCATCTTTCTATTTTTTTCACTCCTTTATCTTCACATATTTAGTTTTTGTATGCTCTGCATTTAAAGCCAGACACCCTAGGAAGATTAAAGTACATTTGTAATATTAAATTAATCTTAAAACAATTGAGGACACATTTACATTATACTGTATTACAAGGATTGCTTTCCTGGACAGTTTGGAAAAGTTGATAAATTTATTACATCTCACCTGATCCTTTTTCAACTTTGGATAAATGTAAAAAAATAATTATAAAAATCTGGGAGTTTCTACGCTTTGTCTTTGTGCTATTATGTTAAAAATTACATTTTAAATAAAGAAAATAAAACACCCTACATGGGTGTTTTATTTGAATTTCAGTTTCTTCTTTTTGATTTCTTACAGTAAAATTAAATATGTTTTACTCCTCAGGATTTTTTTAGCTGTACCTAACCCTGTAATGGTGCTACAGTTAAAGTTAGACTTCTTCCCTCAGGGTTCTGGTTGGTATGGACGCTAATCATAATGCTCAGTTGCTGTTGTGCCTACCGACACCGGAGAGTTAAAATGCGTCTGCAACAGGAGCAACGGCAACGTGAGATCAGCCTAATGGCCTATCAGGGTGCTTCCAGCTCCTTCATTACACCGCCACCTCTCAATTTAAGTAAGATTGTGATTTATTTGTGGTTTAAAATGTTTGTGTCAAAGATGCTGCCTTGCAAAAGTAAATACTGTACACACCTTGTAAGTTTTTTCACATTTTGTCATGTTACAACCACAAACTTAATTTAATTGAATTTTTTTTGGTGAATTTTTATGGTAAAACGACACAAAGCAGTGCATAACTGTAAGCGGAAGAAATCATTGCGTGGTATTCCACACTTGTTACAAATAAAGATCGGAAAAGTGTGGGATGTATTTGTATTTGTTACTTTTCAAATTTGCAACCCCTAAATGATGCTTAATGTTTGCTTCAAGCGTCGAAAAGGAACACAGTAAGCTCTGGATAGAGAGTATCAACATTTTTATTATAATAATATATGCAAAATACTTGGTGTGTGAGGCGAGGTGAACACCAACTCTGCACATAACCCTAAGCACATCATCCCCACCTTGAATAAAAACTAAATCATATAATTTTCCTTCCACTTTACAATTATACACTGCATATTGGTCTTTACAAAAAGTCCTTATGAATACACCAAATTTTGTGGTTGAGGGAGTGACAAAAATCTTAAAAAGTTGAAAGACTGTTAATACTTTTGCAAGAAATTATTGTAATTTCTCTTTTTTGTTGCCTTACATCTTTGTGTTTTGAAGACTTGTGGTTGAGCTGAAACTGCAGCAGTGACAGCCAGCAGCAGAGACGTCACCTTAATGTCAGTGGTCACTCGGCCCTGGCAGGAAATAGGATATCGTGTCCATTAATATCACAAGTGGCAGTTGAATAAGCTTCCCATTTGTCAGAGTGTAAAACCCACAGCGAGTAAGCTTGATGTCAAGTCAACACAACTCCAACCTGCATGCATATGTAGACAGTGACTCACACAGTGTCACTCTCAGTGTCTAGCAGGCCTTCCATCCAGTAAAAACGGAGACAACTCATCTTTAAAAAAAAAAACACTGCGTCATCAGATTGTAATAGTATCCACAATAAGTTTAATGAAAAACTCAAACACTTATAATACTTTCGCTGTATTATAATTGACTATGTACTCAATTATGGAAAGCCATAATTGAGTTATTTCTTGCACAGTGTTCTTTGGATCTTGTAACAAACAAGTCAAAGCAGCATTCTGCTCTATTAAAGTATTAACCAATTAAGTTACAAAACCACACTCGTCATCTTTTTTGTTTGTTTGTTTTGCTACCGGAGCAGTGTTGGGTAACTAAATTTCTTTCACCCCTCGGTGTGGGGACATTCACAGGGATCATCACCATCTTTGGCTGTCGTAAACAGCCGACTGACAGACTGGACCGGATGGGGGGGGGGGATTTGAACTCTTAGCTAAACACAATCTGAGGGAATGCACTTTGCTGGAGTAAAAGAAAAAATCTGCAAATGCATTATGATGGAAAATTTTAGTAGATTTGACAAAGAAAGAGTGACTTATTTGCAACCAGCTATAACCTGAAAAGCAACTGATGTTTGACCAGGATATAGCTAAAGGCGCAAAATTTGCAAAACAAACAATGGATGCAAAAAAAAAACAAACAAGCAAACATTATTCATGTCTCTGCTTGGCATTCATGTGAGACATAAACCCTAGAAAAATGACTAGTATATCCAGCTGCTGAAAAAAAATTTGTAATTTCTCTGAAATTATAATTACATCATTTTGTCAGTTTTATTGACAAAATGCCTGCCGTTACCTATATGTACTCACTTCCTGCTTTAAAGAGACGTGTAGTTACAAAGACTTTTTGTTGTTAAAATGTGCTTTTTAAACTATACCTATGCTTTGAAAAACAGTCAAAAGTTAGATTTATTAATTTCTTTTATAAGAAATCAGCTCAGATAAATTTATGTCCTTTTCTTTTTTAAATCTTCTTCTTTTGATAAACGTAGTGAAGTACTAAACTCCTGCAGCTTCTTGTTTTATGATCCTCAGGGTTTTGGAATGACTGCAAGCTTCCCGACTACGAAGAAGTTGTGGGTCACCCGCCGACCCCTCCTCCCCCATACTCCGAAAACCCTCCTGAGTCAGCTCCGGCGGCCGCTCCTCAAGTAAGCCAGCCGGTTTCTGTCTCCGTGCCACGAATGTTCCCTGACGCAGAGCCAGCGGTGCACCATCAGGCATCGGGCGTCTCCTCAGACGAGGGGGCAATGTCACAAGCTGACCAACCACAGAGCCGGGAAGAGGAGAGCGTAGATGTTTTGCTGTCGGGGGCGGCGGCGGGGGAGGGGGAAGATGAGGAGGACGACGAGCTCGTAACCCGACGCCGGCATGTGACCGGCGACTCAGGGATTGAGGTGTGCGTTTGCCAGCTTGATGTAGACGAGGGATCAGGGCCGGAGGAGGAAAGCGACGAGGAAAACCGGATGTGCAAAGGTGCCGGGAGGGACTGCTGCTCCGGACGCCCGCAGGAGACCTTCAGGCAGAAGGAGTGCACCTCGGAGCTGCCATGCCAGTCCGCCAACACCAGCACTGGAGACCACATGGTGTGATCTACAGCATCAACAACCAGAAAACTAATGCAGCTTCCAGCTTCACACAGGGCCATAACTATCGCCACTGTCATTGGCACAGGGGAAATGGCTACGCTTCATTTCCCTGAACTAATATTTGCAAAATGATGATGTTAACTAATCAGTTCTGGCTTTTGTTTAGGATTGATACAATAACAATGTGGGCAAGGCACGGCTTATTCCCTATACTTCTCTTAGCGGGGGGATCCAGCAAACGTTCTGCTTCTCTGCCGGGTATATTTCTACCCTCTGTTCAGCGTGAAAACGTCACTGAGTGGTGAAAAAGAAAGGAAGCGGCCATTTTGGACTGAAGGCGGAATTGACCATTTCTCTCGTCATGTCCCGCAGCGCTGCTTTCACGTTTCCGTTCCAAAACCCTCGTAGGTCAGAACATTTCCACCCTGCCCTCCCAACTGAGGTTTGAAGCATGCTGCAAAACGCGGCAAAACAACGTTTCTCGGGTCTCCCCAAAGACTGAGCACGTTTGAGGGAAGAACAAACATTTTCAGCAATCAGCTTGATTTTGCAAAAATTTAAATCAGATTGTTATTATTATTATTATTATTATTATTTTGTTTTTTGTCCTTCCCGAAGCCGTTTAATGTGCATAAGAACTGAGTGTTTGCTGTGAAATCTAGGCCACAGCTGCACAGTGATGTCATCTCTGAGGTCATGGCCACCCATGTTGGGGCGGAGGGGCTAAAACACTTGAGCAGAGAAGAGATCCGCTTCTTGTGTTTTAAATGTCACCCTGTTTTTTTTCTCCTTATGTTTTGATATCATAATGTTGTCACCAGGCCTGCTTGTTATCTGGTTAGAATGATGAAAGTGGTGCTCGGCTTTGTAGTGATTTATCGATTGTCTGCATGTATGCATGCGATCTTCCCCCACTTCAGTTCCTAGCTGCAGTAAATCCTTTGTACTAACAATATGGGCAGGTTTTAAGTCAAAAAAAGGTCTTGAGGGGAGATCTATGTTATGTTTTATTTAACTTGTTATCGCTGAGGGAATTTTTATTGTTCAGCATGTTGTTTTTTTTTATGTCAATATTGAAGGACTTAGTTGCTCTTTGCTTTTTCACCACATAACCAGCTCTGCTTTAGTAAATGCCACAGGTGTCATGATTCCTTGCAGCAGATTTTCTGTATGCGGGTGTGTGCGGTTGACAGTGCAGTGACGAAATTATGAAATATGCTTTTGAGATTGGTGAGGTAAAAATTTGAAGCACTGATTTAGATTTTTTTTTTCTTTTTGCACGAGGCATGACTTGGTGTTTTATATTTGAGTGAATTAGCATATTCCGTCATTTTTTAATACTTGCTTTGCTCATCACTTCCAGCAGTCTTACCCTATGGCGACTGAGGAACTCAGTTTAAATATTTTTAGGGGTAAAGCGGTGGATTGATTCCCTTTTTGATGTCTTGATGTAGTTTTCTTGATGAGTGCTAACTAGGTAGCTGGTGCTGTCGTGGGTTTCTGTTCTTTCTATGTGAGGGATTTGCAGTGGCATTTTTCCACTGGCAGCAGAGGGCCAGTACATTAGCAAGCTGAGATGGTTGCAAGCTCTGCTCGACAGTCGATTTGGTCTTGGCACGACCACAGAAATGCTTGTAATGAACTGCATGTTCCGCACCAATGCATGCGGCTTGTTTTCCCGAACTGCAGTTTGTTCGCTTGGAATATTAAAAAAAAAGAAAAGAAAAAAAAAGCAGATGGGGAAAGCTGCGGCATAATGAAGTTCCTACACGGACGTTCTTCCGTCTGAAACAAGTTATTGTCAGGAAATAAACCTTAAAAGAATGAAGTTTGGGAAAAAGAAGAAAAGAAGATCAAGCTTTTTATACATCTGCTCTGATTGTGTGTAAAAACTCAGGTCATCTGACAGCTTAAGTGCACGCATGCACCCACAATGCAATGCTCTAAAGCTGCATCTTCGGCAATATCAGTGGCTTTAATACTCCAACCAGGCATGGGCAGCTAGGAGATTATCAGGGTGTGAAATAGAACATTTTAACAATATGTACACAAAAAAAGCACTTGCTAAATTTAGAAGTGAAAAAGCGTAGTAGCTCTTTCCTTACCAGCTGAAAAGAAGTATGCAGCAACAAGTGGGGGTGGGGTGTTTGATCACAGTACGCTAGGAAAAGTTGGACAAATCTTTAGCCTTGATCCCGATAGCTGGTCCATGCCTGTTTGTTTTTTAAAATGGGTTCAGTGCCTGAATCAGACGACACCAGTCCAACTTTTGCACAACAAGTTTACACCATGGCTTCATAACGAGGAGGAACACTTCAGTGTTGCTCGAGAAAAAAGTTCTCTTATTAGTTCCACACAAACACATAAAGTCATTTTGTTTGTGCACATCAGAATGAAAATGTTTCCTCTCTTCACCGACCAGCAGCAGCTTTTTAAAAATTTGTAATTATTTTTCTAGGCTGTGGTTGGTTAGGCTACAGAGTTGCTGCGGCTAGAATGTTGCAGAGGAACACGGCAGAACGAATGATGCACACACGCACCGCGGGCTGGAACTGTCAAAATGTTCCCAGTCCTTTTGTTGCAATAGTGCTGCATCACCTAACAGGTGCTTGAACACGAAGCCATTCTGACATGACCTTTGCAGAGGAGCGGTTGCAATGTGAGCATGCCTGCACACCCCTAAGCAGATTTGATACACCGTGTTTTTTTCTTTTTGTTTTTTTTTTCTTGACAGCACACCTTAAGCTGCCTTGTTGAATTTCTATAGAGCCGATGTCTTGATTAGAGCTGCACAGATAATATATAACCTCTGTATGTGGAAACTGGTGTAATACTGCCTTATTAGAGTAGATGTAGTTGTCTTTTTTATATATAAATTGTAATATTTGTGCAAGCATGGTTGTATTAGAGAGCAAAGGAGCACTGTTGTGTTAGTAGAAAGTAGCATTTAATCTCGTTCTGGAAACGTTTGCAGGCTCTGTGCTTAGAGGATGTGGCGTACATTTAAAAGCCACCGAACTGAAGTGGTTTTGTTGCTGAGAAGTGGTTGTTGAATTTAAACAATACTGTGTGTAATTATAGCTGTGGCACTGATGAAATGTGTTCAGACCAGATTTATTGTGCTCAGTTTTGCTTTTTGCTGTCCTGCGCATTAGATCGAAGCACCAGGAAGCAAGATTGTTGCTGTTACTGTTTTATTTTTATTTTTGGAAAAAGACTCACCGATGTTCACTGTGCCTTGCAAAAATATTCACACCTGCTGAAGTTTTCCACCCGCATTCATCCAACAACCACAAATTGTTTTGTGGTATTTAATATCACAGACCGATACGAAATAGTGCGTAAGTAGAAGGAAAAACATGTATGGGTGTCTAATATCTAGAGATTTTTTTTTTCACAAATTCTTTGAAAATTAAGTAGTGATTTTTATTTGTTTGTTTCTTTGTCCAGACTCTAACTGGACCATTCTGTCACATGGATATGTTGTGATTTAAACCATTCCACCGGAGGTCTTGCTGTGTCTTTAGTGTCGTCTTACTGGAAAGTGAATTTCCCCAGTCTAAATAGTTTTTTTTTTAAAACACTTTTTAAGAGATTTTTCTCCAACTCTGAACTGCCTCACTGGTCAAACGCATCCCCACAGTATGACCCTACCACCACCATGGTTTGCAGTGGGAACGGCATGTTCGGTTCGCTGCGCCATGTTTGTTTTCCACTATACGGATCCCACCGGACCAGAACCTTTCCTTCCACATGACCGCTGCGTCTCCTACATGACTGAATCGTCATGGAACCAGATTCTGAGGCCTTTGATGAAATTGTACTCAGGTTGACTCTGTTTACAAAATGATGTGATTTCAGAAGGTCATTGGTTGTCCTTTTGATTAGAGGTCTTTGAGAAAATCCATGTGGATACCTCACATTTTTCAAATCTTTTGTTTGTAAAAAAAAAAAAAAAAAAAAATAATATATATATATATATATATATATATATATATATATATATATATATATAGAAGTCCTCCTTTCACTTCACAGTTATGCACTACTTTGTGTTGGTCTGTCATAAAGCATAAGGTACCTTAAGGTTTGTGGTTGACATGTGACAAAACGCGGAAAGCTTCAAGAGCTATGGATACAAGGCATGTTGTACATGTACATATTTAATACCAACTACAGCAGTGGGGGACAGTGAGGTTACGAGCTCTTTTGATTTTTACACATTTCCCGAGACTTAAGGGCTAAATATTAATCATAAATTGTCATCAGACATATGCTCCACTGAGCGATTAATCGTTTTTTTTTTTTTTTTTTTTCAAACCACAGTTACAATGATCCACTATCTGAACACAGAGATGCATAAAGTGAACTTTGGTCGTTTCCCAATGTGGTGGAGCTCATATTTATATATTAACCTATTGTATATGAACTTGTGTGTGTGTTTGTTCTTGATTTTAGGCTTTATCCATGCCTTCGTGTTTTGTCAACCCTAACAGAGGTGCGTGATGGTCTCTCCTCACACATATGTTCACACTGAAAACACATGCAAACCGTCTGCATGCGTGGATGTGTGGAGCGTTACCGGTGGCCTGTGACTCCACCCTCAGAAACTGCATTTGCTTGTTTGCCTCCCTTTGAACTCCTCCCAACGAAAAGGGGCACACCCACCCACGTAGATCTGCAAAAGGCCTTCGTCATTTCCACGCTCCGCAGGTCATCCACGGGTCGCGCCCAAGAGGTCGCCCTGACCGTGGTCTGTTCGGTTTCACTCTCAGGGTTATTATCGTGGAAAAAGCAGATTTCAGATCACCATCTCTCAAAAAGCCAAAGGAAACCTTTCATGATTGTCACGTGTTTTGATATTCGCTCCCCCCTGCATCACGCATCTCTGTGAACTTTACTCAACTAGGCTATGCAAAAAACATAAACCAACTGTTATATGCTGCGACTCCCTTTCTCTGTCAGATGTCCATGGGCACCAGTACAAGCAATATGTCTGTCAGCTCTCGTGGCACTGCATTGTACTGTAATCGATCAGTCTGTGTATGTATTTTAAAAATAATGTACTTGTAATGCTATTGCAATGTCATGATAACTATGCTTCTGTATGCTGAGGGGTTTTAGTTAAAAAGGGTATGTTTCGTCCCCTTCTTTCATTTTTTTGGCCGTTTTGTTGTATCTGCTGCCCAATAACTTTCCACTCTTGACTCATGGATAAACTCTGGATAAACCACATGTTCAAGCTGCGCATGCTCAAAGAGAAATGTTGAAAATGTTCTTTTTGCTGCTGCCGTTCAGAGCAACTTTCTTCTTGTTTTCTGTCTTTATGAACTCAGAAAATATGTAACCGTTGCCTTTAATCCTCTCAATACATCACCGTGATATTTCTATAATATACACAGGAAAGACCTCACCATGGAACACAGTTGGCTTACAGTAAACCAGCAGATTTTAGGCTAACGGGCCATCAAAATGAGTCCTCAACATTTAGCCGAAAGAAACATTACCTTGGTTGTTAATGGGACTTTTTCTGCAAAATCTACAAATTATGTTTTTTTCTTCCTCTAAACCATGGGGAATACCAAACACAAGGAGGTGATGTGGTTAGGATGGGTTTTTTTTTCTGTTTTTGACAAAAATGAGAAACATGTAAATCTGAAAGGGAAGCAGCCATCTATGGAAAATCCACTCTTTCTACATTGTTGTTCTGGTAACTCTTAAAGAAGTCAAATTGAGTAAAGTAGAATACAAAAAAAAAAAGAAAAAGAAAATAAAAAGCAATGACAGATGAAATTGCTTTGGTTTTTGGTTACAAGTCTACTGTGTACTGTCTGGGTCATCGTTTGTACTTTATTTTTTTAATAAAACAAACATTGGCGCTCTGCTGACTGTCTGTTTTTCTTGATTTTAGGTCCTCTAAATTTAACTAAACTCTGGTTTTACAGTAATCTATGCATTGCAGTGCAAAAGTACCCCAAGCAGACCCAAGCGTCTGATTGGTTAACCTGTGTAGCATCTCAACCAATCGCCTTGTTTACAGCAGTGTGGACCCCCAAACTGACTTTGATGGTCAGACTAATTTACAAAACAAATGGATGATATCTTGAAACCCAGAATTATGAAAAAAAGAAGAAATATAAATAATATGTGGGTACAAATTGTCATTTATAATTATATACTGAAAATTTCTGAAACATTTTGCCTTACATAAAATTGTGGCATGTTTATACTTGGATACTAGTAACCATTTACTGACAATTATGAAAAGAAATAACAGTTCCCTTCCTGATTTAATGTAATCAAATGTCCTTTTTTAATTTTGTGAAATAGTGCTTGTGCTATAAAAAGCAGAAGAGATTTGTTGAGACACATTTTATTTAAAAAACAAAACAACCAGAAAACACAAATGAATGTCATGGGAAATAAGATGGCATTCTCCTTACAAAAAAGAAATAAATTTGAAGCATAAAGATGGTGTACAACACCACCAGCCTGTTGCGTCAGACCTGTATGTGCAGAGGGCTTTCAGCAAAGATATGCAACACAGAGACAAGAGACATGTATGTACTCGTAACAAAAGAAACAAAAGGTCGTTTTAGTGACAGGAAAGAGAAAGACTCTGTAGCAGCTATGTTGCTTACATTCTTAGCAAATCTCAAGTCTCTCACAGGAAAAATATCTTTAATAAATATATTCGAAGTCAAATTCTCCCACATGATCTCATAAATGCCTAAAAACCCAGTCTAGTCATGTTCATACTCTAGTGGTGGAAGCCAGCAAAGATAAAGTATCTTCATATCTTTCATCACATCCAACAATAAATGATTTGCCTTCAACACATATAAACATTTTAAAATGTACAGTTTTGCATGTACACTGGCACTCAAACGCACACAGCAGTAGACAACATAAAAGATGAAAAACTGACATTTTCTGACTCTAAGAAGCACTGAGAGGTGATCTATAATCATTTAACAAAATCTTGATATCACCATTCAAAATAAAACAAGAACTTCAGCTTTATTTTAAATGGACAAAGTTTTTGCATTTTAAGAAAAATGTATGCAAACCTTAGATTTGACACTACAGCATGTTTTTAAGTTAAAATTCTCGAAATGTTAATGCATGTGGGTTGGCCTCATGCACCATTTCATGAAAAGTTTATAAATCTGGAGGATGATGAATTTAAGCAGTAATGGATTCCATTAAAATATTGCAAACAGGTTAAAATTCTGCATCAAGATATTTACTCAAACATCGTTGGATTAAAGTCAGGAGTTCTAATAGAAAGGAGCTTCAACATGTTTGTTTTTTTTATTATTACTAATCTGTCCAATGAATGCTGAAGTTGTATTATGATGGCAGTTCATTTAAAGCCGTGTCAATGACTTTGGGCAGGTGCATGTTCTTGTAGGACAGACGGTAGAAAAAGAGCCAATCACAATCAAGACAAAGGAAGAAAACTGTCACATTATTAAATCTAAGTTTAATTTTCTGAGACTGAAAACTTTAACCTAATCAGCCTGTTTCAGGTACATAAAAATCCATTCTGAAAAAATCCATTTCTGTGGATCATAAGTTAATCATGTGAAAGGAGAGAGAAAATGCTGCCGCTCCGTCAACACAATATCTTTTTTCGCTACTCTGTTTTCTCAGGGCATATATTAGCTAAGATGAGGCGCTTTACATGTACTGGATCGTGAAAGGAAACCAAAGGTGTCCAGGGAACAGCTTTTAGCACAAGTTACTATGGAGAGAGTACAAGGTAAGAAGGGAGGAAACTTTGTTAAAAATCCTGACTTGAATCCTGAGCTTCATCAATAAACAAGTGGAAAATTCTGAAATTGGGTAAAGAATCCCTTAAGCTAATATCAATATGCTTCACATAAAAAAAAAAAAAACGTGTTATTTAAAATTTTAAATTTATGCACAATGTTACCTTCCAAAATTCAGGGAAGGCACTACTAAATTTATCCAGAGGATTAAAAAACAAAAAAACAACAGTTACACTAGTTTGCAAACCATTTCAGTCTGCTTTCATTTATCTTTTAGAAACAGGTTTTGTTTTATTTGGGGTTTTTTTTCAATGAAAGAATTACAAACCTCTCAGAAATATTGGGCAGCAGGGTTGATATTACATTCCAACTATTTGCTGCTTCACATAAAAAGAGCGAATTTAAGTATCATGTGTTCCACACAAAATACACCGACAACATACAAGCTCACCTCATTTTTCTTAAACTGAAAATATAGTAACCTAAAAGTTCTCATGTTATTTTTTACCGAACCAAACTTTCAACATCAATTCAACTTCTTGTGCCTCAAAACAGCTGGAAGAACCTGAACTAGATTCAGTTTAAATGATATTAAATTAGATGAATTAAACAAGTTCAAAACAACTACACTGATGTAAAGTATAAGTGGACGGATCTGATCAAATATCATACATAGTATTTCTCTTAAACATTTTTTGCTTTTTTTATAAAGAGCAATAAGAAGCTTTGGAGTAAATTAAATAAGAAATAAACTGAATAAATAATTCAAGTAGAAAATTTTTTCTCAAGCTCATGATCAAATGTAGTACTAAAAATGGCATCTTATTGTCGCTTAGTGACCAAATTTTAAAATGACTCATTTATTTACGTCCGGCTTGGGGAAAGAAGAAGGCTGCATGATATAAGGAAAATGTAAAATTCGGTCATAGTGAATGTCGCAATAATGATATAAATAAGATATACATTAATGAGCTTATAATAGCAATCGTATAATGAGCAAATCCTTCCAGCTTCTGGAAAACTTTTTTTCCATTATTTCCATCTCAAAAACAAGGTTTAATTGAAAAAGCTGCTTCCGACTTTACCATTTTTTAAAACTTTTCATGCTGAATAAAACAACTTGTATTACAAAATGTAAAGAGGTTTAATGTTTGGTATATCGATTACTACCTACCATTAATTACTACCTACAGACTGTTCTCTGCAATATGCAAGCTGCATACCAGGAGGTTGGGATAACAATAAATTTGCAGGGTATCGTGCAGCCCAGGGAAGACTGACCTTTATTTTAAAATTCACACTTTTAACATGATTGAGAAATTGATTTAGGCATTTAGGCATTCATCTGGACAAAATTATTACATTTAAGGAACTTATGAGTAAGTGTAGTGAACATAGCTACTTGGAAGAATTATCAAAGGTGAAAAATGTAAATCCCTCCAGCTGGTTCAGAACCATTACTGGAAAAATGGCTTCAGTTGCAGGGAAAGCCTGTCCTCCTTCTCCTGTCAAACCGGGTAAAAACCTCCGCTGCTCCGCCGCTCAATGACAGCGTCTTACTTCTCATCTGATCTCAGCTGGGTCTGTGGCCCACAGTAGTCGTAATAATCCCTGAGCCCGCTGTGGCGTTCCTCAGTAGAAGCGCTTACGTCGGCTCTCGTTCCAGTGGCTGTAGACCACCATGCCGATGACGATGAGGAAGATGCATCCCAGCATGGAGAAGAGCACAGTGAAGAAAATGGCTAATCCGTTCATCCCTTCTTCATTCTGACCCACTGGGAAGAAGAGAAAAACAACCAACGTCAATATGACAGAGAGGGAGCGAGTACACGTGCTGGGACAATGTTGTTGTTTTTTGCATGTCTTACGTCTGAGGAGCTCCATGTTGTCCACGCTGGGGATAGTTATTATATCCTGCTCCTCCTCCTCTTCTTCCTTTTTACTCCGCAACACCGTCAATTGGTAAAGTTTGAGGGAAATGATGTCGTGGTTATCTATCAAGTTTTAGAAAAGAAAAAAACATAATTAGTCGATGTTTTAGATTTTGAGTCTTCCAAACACACATATCATGATTCAGACTTCAACAGTGCATTTCTGCACGGCTAAAATGATTTAAATCAAAATCAAATCAAATCAAATTTTATTTGTATAGCACATTTCAGCAGCAAGGCATTTCAAAGTGCTTTACATCATAAACACAAAAGCACAAAGTCATGCATCATGGAACGAGCATAGTTGAGTCAAAACCTAATTTTGTTCTGCGTGTGTATTTACATATTAACTGGATGGATCTGTTTAAATGAAGCAGAACAATTTGTAGTTCTCAGTGTTGTTCACCAGGGAGGGTCAATGATTTACCCGAGAGATCGCCGGTAATTGCTGAAGCTCCAAAGTAATATCCCAGAGGCAGCCTCACTCCAGGTATGTCCAGACAGTCCCTCCACTCATGCTGACCATCAATGTCTATCATCACCTGCTCCACAGATTGCAGCCAAACAAAAACATTTTAAATTTCTGGCGTAGGTGGTTTTTAGCCGTGTTTCTTTGTCGGCGGTTGCTAACCGTGAGCCTGCGGCGGATATATCGAATGAAGAGGAACGTGTCGTGCTTTTGGTTGCGCACCATGGCATTGCAGCCACCGAGTTCGGTGGGGCGACCGTCCCGCTCGTGGTCGTAACTAATGGTGCCGTTCCCCACCATGGCAATAACGAACGGGAAGATCCTCTTGTAATTGAAGAGGGGGAGGAGAGAGACGACAAAGATAATTCAGGAAAATTTGATTTAAACTCATCTCTTATCTCTTAAGAGTTTGATGAGTGGAATGAGTTTACTATTTGAAGCAGATCAGATGCAATGACAGCCAGAACTTTGAAAAGTTGTGGGTAGGATATAAAGAATGGTCCACTTTCAGTACACATTGTTGGAGCAAGAACTTTTTACATTTTCCGCACATTTCACACAAAATTCAAATATTCCTTTTTATTTTTGTGAGTAGTTTTTTTTTTTTTTTAATGGAGACATGCAAGTTGACTCCAGTCATGCACTCACATTTTGACAAAACGATGATTTCTGGTCACAATACCATCATGGCAGCAAAAGCAAAATAAAATGCTGAGATGCACCATAAGATATGAGCAAAAGGTTCAAAAGAAGTGCAACAATTATTTGTGAAGCAGCTGACTTTTAAGCTTTTATATGAATGAAAGTAGCACAAAGACAAAAAAGCTAAAAACAAAAATGTTTGTTTTTAGCATTAATGCTGACAAAATGTTTAAAGATTAGAAAACACCTGAATACTTCTTTTTGACAAAATGTTTAACATGGCATATAACCACAATATGAAGATGAATTAACAACAAGGTCAGAAATATGGCAAATAACGCCACAAATATTTCTAAAATTATTATTAGCAGTGATGCTGCTAATAATAGTGTCTGAAAAACAGACACTATTTCATGGTGGAAATCACAATAGGAGCTCTGAAACATTTCACAGAGTCAATGTTTGGGAAAGCAATCCCTACATAAATAAATCAATATATTAATAACAGTGATGTAGGAACATTATAGTGTCTTCTTATCTTTTTTCCTGTTCAGAATAAAAAAAATCTACAACTGAATCTGTGTTGGTCTTGTTTTTCTTGTGACTAAATACGTATTTGCTGCCAGTTAGATGTTCATTTCAGTAAAGCCGATTTTAAATGGCATAAACTCAAAGCACATGTTACATATTAAGTGTGTACACCCCACTTCCAAATTCCTTGTTGTATTAAAATGAACTTTCATAAAACTTTTTTAGATTTTACGTGACAAGCCAAGATAAAGTGGTGTACCATTGTGAGGTGAAGAGGAAAATATAAATGGCTTCTAAAGTTGTTGTCTTTTTTACATATTCAAATCTGTCAAGTACTCTACTATGCTGACCTTTTCTGAAAGTTGAATGAAAGCAGGAGAGGACAAACATGTCAAAGATGCTCTGGCTCGATGAGACCGAAATGTTACTTTCTTGACATCATGTTGGAAAAAGAATACATATGTTTTAAAAAGCTGCTAGAGGCTGAAAAAATATGAGACTGGCTTGAAAGTTCACCTCCCAGCAAAACAACAACCTTAAACATACAGACACAACTACTATGGAATAGTTTTGATTGAAACAAGTTTATGTGATATAAAGGCCCAGACTTGATTTCCCATAGTTGTTCTCTGTCCAAGATGACTGAACTTGATGTATTTTGCAAAAGAATTATCTCTAGATGCATAACATATAAAGAAACTTGCAGCTACAAAAGCAACTAAATGTACTTCTGCTAAATATTAAGTCCGGGGGCAAACTTGGATATAACATATTTTGAATGGCTTGTGAAATGTGAAGTATATTAATGTGAGTGAAACAGTCAGTGAACCACACAGCAAACCATGCAGGGACAAAAATGTTACAAACCAGATTGTTTTGGTTTTGGGAGCGACATGCAACTCTAGGATGGATTTCCATGACATTGTTTTAAACACAGAACCTGGTTACCTGTGTGCGGGGGGTGTATCTCTTCTTCTGCGCCTGTGTCCAAATGATTGCACAAAGAACAGAAACACAGCCCCTTTACACGAATCTGCAACACCTTGCCAGTGTGAGGCGCTAGTTCACTGACCCGGCTTTAGGCAGGAGTGCTGAAGCATACCTCTATGTACTTCTCCTCGTTGGGATAGGTGTCCACAAACACACCCAAGCCAGTGAAGTTGTCCATATTTCCAAATACAGGACCTGGAGGTGCATCAAAGTAGAGTGTTAGAGACGGAGAGAAACGTTAGAAATGTGTGTGAATATTAGTACTACAATGACTTAAATCTACATTACATTATGTCTTATTATAATCACCTTTCTGCATTCGCTCCTTGGTATACCAAATGGCTAGACCATCACCGTTGAGGTTCTTCTTTCCTTGCCCATGAACCTTAAAGTGCACCTGCATCTCCCAGTCCTTTAAGTGGCATGGCTAAAAGAAGCAGCAAAAGCTAAAGTGACATCATTCAATCAAAAGAATATTAAAAGAAGCCTTTAGTTTTGCTTTAATTCCTAAAGTAAATGTTGATCTACATGGGAGAAATTTGTTATGCTAACATTAGAGCTAGGAGAGAGAGACTGACTGGTCTACTAGCATCAATCACGTAAAACTGGAAATCAATTATTATTAATAGATTGTGCTACTCACAATGCGGCTCCATACTGCCCCTTGTCTGCTCTGCATGTCCGGTGTGAGTCGCACCTGGTCGGTGGTTACCATGGCATCCCCCATCAGCTCCCAGTGGGAGGAGCCTAAAGATCCCACACCTGCGACCACAAACGATACAGTCATTACTAAAGAGCTGACTCGGCAGGTGGATGTTGACGCCTAAGCAGGTCTCCTTCGTCAGCTAAAAAAACAAACAAAAAAAGGGCTGGCATAATAAAGAAAGAGGCAAACACAAGATTAAGAGAGAATAATAATAGTATGGCAACGCAGCAGTAAAGTATAACTGCTAAATCAAAGATGGGAAGCTGCATTCTGTCCGAAAAAAGACTTCTTTACATGTTAAACTGTGCGCGATACATTTGAACAAAGGTGTCGTTTATTTCCTGAAAGCATCCTTCTGGAAACATCTGTCCTCCAGACTCCCCCCTCTTCCCCCGTGCATCGCTTTTCCAGGACGGATGGCATACCTTGGTAAGGCTTGGAGAGGGAAAACTCCCGCTTCAGGAACTCCTCCATTTCATGGTCATCGTCGGAAAAACACAGACTTACAAATAAAAGAAGGAAGGTAAAAATGAAATGCAGTTTGTGCGGCATTATGTTCCATCTGGACATAACGTTCAGCTGTGATTTGGAGCGGCTGAGCTTGCTGCTGTTAACGGCATCCATGGTGGGTCAAAACTCACGGAACTGCAAAAAAGGCAAGCTTCATCTCTATTGGTCCGCCGTGTTGTTTGACCCATTTTAATTGGTTAGTGTGGCTGTCACTCATAATACGTGATTACAATTGGTCGCATTACTTTAGAAACAGAAATTAATATTTACATTCTCTATCTACGAATCCTTAGAAACAAACAACTGTTTAAGAGATTGTAATGGTGCATTTCCTGAATTGTGTGCTATGAAGCAATATAAAAACTATCCATAATTTAAAGAAATATCATTATTAAAAATGCTATTTATTTGTGGACGGGAATTCAAAAATAACAGAAAATAAGATAAAGAGCATTGTTCCACTGGATCAAACCTGCAGAAAATTCTAACTTTCCACTACACTGGTAAAATAAACATAAATGATCAAATAAGTTTGTCAGTGAACACATCAATCACACATTGAAATAAAATGGATGATTTAAATGAAATGCATGATGTTTAATAAATTAATTAACCAGATTAATGGTATGAGCAGTCTTTTAGTATAGTTATAATGACGTTATTGACATCTTGGTTTTTCAGAAGGGCAGAATCATTATTGGTACAAAACAGATGGCGGATGTCAAGAGGTTTGTTTCACATTAAACTGGAGATCAATGACAACCTAACAGAGCAACTTGAGTTTAGTACATAACTATCCCCTGACAATATAAATTTGCACTGACACAATATAAGTTTCTGGGGATCACATATTACATGAGACCAACCCTGTCATAGAATATTTTGCCTTTATTTTCTGTATGTGTATTTTACAACTCTTTTGACCTCTTTCTGTGTCACATGTAAATTGAATGGAGAATCCAGCATGTTGTGATCAACATGCTGGGCGGTTCAAACTGCACGGTGCAGGGACTTCCTTGTTGAATCACAATCAGTGCAAAGCCATCAATCAGTAAGTGTCAAAACTTTTGAGTGCTGTTCATTTCACTCTCTGCTGTATGCTTGCAACTTTGGTTATTTTGTATTTATACCCCCATATCCTCCATTGTCCAAGAATTTTTAGTTCATCCACAATTTGACAAATTTCTATATTATATATGCAAGAAAAGATAACTTCAACAAACATAACAGCAGTTATGTAGTTATTTTTGGTTTGAGCAGGGCTCATAATGGGTCATATTTCCAAGTGGCCCAAATGGGAATCAGAAACAAAATAAGTGGAAATAGAGGTGTAGTTTTCAGACACCATTTCATTACTTTTGATATTTAAACATTTTTATGACTTTCAATGTTTAACCATCATTCACAAAAAATACTGAATTAAAATGAAAAGAAATGCACACGTCATGGTTTAAGTTGAACATGCAGCAAATAAATTATATTCGTTTTAAGTTATGATATGTATTAATAACTGACTAATTCTATGTAATCGTGGCACTTTAGATGCTCCGTACATTGGATTTTGTAACCTTTTCGTTCTGCCAGTGGGATGCTGTGGGAAAGACCGCGCCCCCTTCACGACCCTGCTGGAGCGTCGGATCGCGTCACGCGTCGTGGAGTTGTGGACATCAGACGGGGATGGAGTAGCGGGAAGTATGGGTCCAGCTGAAGAAAAAACGGTCGACATTTATCGTGACACGTGGGTCCGCTTTTTAGGTATGTATAAAGTACGTGTTTGAAGTGACTCGCTTGTTCGTATCAAAAAAACAGATTATGTGAAGACACCGGAACTGTCGGAACACAGTAGCTTTTAGCAGTTAGCATAGTTGGCTACCCTCTCTTTAAAAGCTATATCTGCGGAAAATTTGGCGTCTGAAGGGCTGTTTGTTACCAGAAGACACAATGTATGTCTTACATGGTTCAGAAAATTGCCTCCAAACGAATGGCTGAATATTTAGGCTCGAATATTCTCTTTAGCTCTGTATTAAGGCGTTTTGCACAGTCGTTGAGCAAGTTGACTCATAAACACGAAGAAGGAACGTTATACTTTCTGTCAGTCAAATTGAGACTCCAGTCTGATTGTTCTGCAGATAGTGCTCAGCATCAGAGTGGTGACTTTTTGTCTCTGTTAGTACTATACACATTTAAAGGAAAGGGCATGAGCAGTGTCCTGTCTGAAGGGCATTTTATTCATCTACTGCAGCAGTTCCTCCCTCTTACTGGGGGGCAGTATCCATGTACTGACATGGAAATCTGTTCATCCCCCTTATAAAATCATAATCTGCTAGCTTTCAGCTCTAATCCTGTCTGTTAAGGAATTATCTCCATGTCTTTATTTAGAATTGTGCACAATAAAATCTGGAAATATTTGCACATTTTTGGAACATTGTTGTTATTCAAATTACATTTTTTTTGTTTGCACACACACACACACACACACACACACAGACACAGACACACACACACACACACACACACACACACACACACACACACACACACACACACACACACATATATATATATATATGTTAACAAAATGTGATTTGAATAATAACTATGCACTTACATGTGTCTTAACTTATGTTTGCACATCTTTGACCTGCATATCACATACAAATATTGCTGATCTTTTAATGTATCACAAATAGACTGTGGGTGTTCAATTGTTATGTGAGTATGTAATACTAATACACACACTCAAGTTTAACAACTTCAGGTATTTCCATTTCCTGGTTTAAAAAAATCTAATAAAATGCTCAGTTATGTCATCAAGTGTTGGGTTTCCAGATCTAAAAACAGACTTCTGGGTTGCAGGAAGAAGACTATTCTTTCATCTGGAGAACACAACAAGGTTAAAGTCATTCTAACTGCATCTATTTTTACATTCCCACAGGCTATGCCAATGAAGTCGGGGAGGCCTTCCGTGCTCTGGTGCCAGTGAGCTTTGTTTGGGGTAGCTATGCTGTGGCCACTGCTTATGTTACTGCAGATGCAGTGGACAAAGGCAAAAAAGCAGCTGTGGTAAGACATAACCCTTTATATCACAATAACAAATCATGCTGGACGATAAATTGTCCGAGAAATCATTGAGGAAAATGATAATATTGACGTTTTGAGACAATTTTCAGCTAATATATAGAACATCCTACACTGAAATGGGAAAATATTTTAAATATCCAAAATAAAACACAACCAAAAACAATACATAAAAGGAAATAAAAAACCACAAACAACTGAAATGAATTATGAAGTTCCTGTAAACAAAATTGTCCTTCAAAAATGTTAATAATCAACATTGATTAACTGCTTATTGGGACAGTAATGACTTAGTAATGAATTTAAATTAATTTCTACAGTTTTAATAAGAGTAATAGCTCTATTTCTCCACACCTTTAAATTAAACACATAAACTACAGCCTTAATAATAATACAGTCATTATTTAAAATATATTGTAGTGTGTGCAGTTTCAGTTTTATTACACATACAAAACAGGTAAATGTGATTTTCCGTTTATGTAAGTTGAAAGCAGAAAACAAGGAAACAAAGACACTCCAGTTATTTTGTCCACCCACTGAGTGTTCATACCTCCTTCTCTGCTCCTTCATCTGTCCCTTCAGGCCCATGGAGACAACCCAGGGAAGACGACACGAGTGGCCGTAGCGGTCGTGGACACGTTTGTGTGGCAGGCCCTGGCCTCTGTGATCATCCCGGGCTTCACTATTAACCGGGTGTGCGCAGCATCCCTGTATCTGCTGGGCAAGTCCACCAAGTGGCCTTTGCCTGTTCGCAAGTGGACCACCACAGCTATTGGGCTCTCCACCATCCCCTTCATCATCACTCCAATAGACAGGTTGGCACAAGATGTGTGTTTGTCCTGGTCGCATCTGGATCATGTGTAAATTGCAGTAAGACTTCACTGTTGAGGTTTTGACTCGTGATCCGTCATTTTAGTGGCATTTTTTTTGTCTTTTCTTAATGTGACATTGAAGTATTTTGTGATTTTTAAGGAGCACTTTGGTTTCTTATGCAGCTGCAATGGTGAAAAAAGGAGTGTCAAACAAAACTTTGTCAGCATATAATTTTAAACCGCATTAAGGAAATGGCTTCCTCTGCACTTCACAACATTATTCACCTGAAACAAGGTCAAACTGAATGTAAACATCACAGGTAGTGGATAAAAATTCCATAAAAAAACATTTGTAGTTATTTTTTATGAATATTTAATCAATAAATCTATTTTTATTATACATCTTTTATATAATTAATATTTTTGGTGTAATTACATTTTTAAATCTGATAACTGTCCAAATGTTTAGTTTCGTAACTTTTTGTTCCACTTGAGTCTCATGTTATCATCTCTATTTGTGTTGTTCGTTTAATTTGAATCTGACATTTTTGCTTAGTGAATCAGTTTTTAACATGATGCATTATTTATCTGCTTTGTGCATCACTGTAGGTCAGTGGATTTCCTGCTGGACTCGAGCCTTAGGAAGGTCTACAATGATGGAAAGAAGCACGAATAAAGAGGATCATGCAGACTGGAAGCACACCAGTCTCAAATTTGCACCAATTATGCAGACACTCTGGAACGCAGCCATTTTATGGTGCAAAATTTCAAACTCGTTTAGTGATATAACTGTATTATCATAGTGTTTATGATAGAGCTGGATATTTATGTACAAGGTCAGGTGACGTAAAGGGAAATCCTGCTCCAAAGTAGGCTCAGTTTTAACCTCAGGGCAGTGTGAGTTGTATTACCAAAATATATCTTAATAAGAATGCAGTAATATAGAAATGATACAACATCTTCACCTTACCTGCTTGTTTAGCGTAGGCATAATAAATTCCTGGGAGCAAAGGAAACTTCAAATGTTGCCATCTTTCAAAAGAGAAATTAATCTTTTTACTCTGGCTTGTGAAGCATCACTTAATAGCTAAACATCAAGGTGCATTTGTATCACTGGACTCTTGGTGTGTATTATTTGCCATATTCAATGGCCCCGTAGTCTAATGGCAGGTCAATGAGCCAGGTCACTGTCAAAGGTTTCTGTTACCTTAAAAAAAACTGCAGCCCTTAAGAGATGTTACTTGGTGCACTTTTTCAACCTTTTTTTTCTTTTGAAGGCTAATGAGCTTTCACTGAGAGCCTTCTTTACACAGTAGTTCCAGCTTTTTTGATTCTATGCACTATAAAATCAGTTTACGGCTGGAAATAGCAATTTTAGATCATTTTATACTGTATACAGAACTGAGTTGTATGTCTGAGCCAATGAAAAAGCAAAACTGTGCAATTTGACTTTACCTCTTTCAAGGCTGGGCATTGAAATCACATTTAGGTTTTCAGTTCTCAGATTAGGTAGATTACACATAAGGTAATAGTGATCTCTGAATAGATATTAGGAATGAATGACAAATTCTAAGATACTGTTTGCAAAATTGTGACAATGTAAGTCAGATGTTGCAATTCATAATGAGCTATGCAAGGGAAACATTGTGTGTATAGATGAGTTTGAAATTGCAAGGATTGTTTCCTGCATTTAAAAAACCCCCTCAATTTACAAATATTTAGGAATTGAGAAGGGAAATCTGATAACAAGAACTGCAGGCAGCTGAGAACACCATATTCCAGGCAAACTTTTTAAAGGGGCAGTATTATGTAAAATTGACTTTTTTGAGCTTTATACCTTGTTTTCTTTCATTTATGTTTGAGAAATCCTGGAATCTCAAGCGGCAGCCAATCGGGTTTCTGAAATGCTTGGTCTCACTGATCAACGCCTTTTCCATGCAGCTCCTCCATGCAGCTGCAATCTCCAAGCAGAACTTCCACTCAGTTCCTCCAGACTAGTCAGCAGCAATTAGCAAATGCCTAATGGAACTGCTCATCTACTGAGCTCATCATAGGAGCTACTTCTCAGTGCACCGCAACTAAGATCGACATTGAGGATTTGATGGAAACATGTTGTTGTGATGACTTCTTAAAGACAGAGGATCAGAAAGAGCAGGAGTCTCTTGAAGAGACAAAGGCCCAATTTCAAGGTGTTAAATTGCAAAGTCAAATTTATTTCAAGTCATGTTTGATGTATGTATCATTTTTCTAACTGAAGATAACATGTTTACTTAATTGTGCTATACAATTACAATATACCCACAACATACATTTTACTGTTCCTTTAATATTTTACCTCTTGTTTTAATTTGAGTTCATTTTGTTCATGCAAAAACTTTGCTACTACTTTGGGTGTTGACATCAGCAATTAGCACAACTTTGTCGTTGGATGACTTAACAGTGTTGAAATAAATGTCTTCACTGTGCCGACCATTTTACACATTTAAGCACATTTAAATGTACTTAAGTTTAAGTTCTTTATGCATAAGTACATTTGCCAGACATTTTAATTAATCAAAGCAGGAAAACTAGAAGCTGAGCCACAATATTTACTATATTTTTATTTGACCTTCACTGACATGTTAAAATGTCTGCCACAAACAAAAAAGATTACTAGAAAAATATTGACATTCACATGACATTTTAACATTTCTCATTTTCAAAGGTTTTAGAAATTTGTACTTTTTGATGAATGTGACCTTGAGTCACATCTTAGCCTTAGCTGAAAAGAAATGTACAGTTTGCTCTGTTGCTGTTATTCACATTGTGGGGACTCAGATCTGACACATAAAGGTAAATTCATTTGTATGACGAACATGTGCACTCTTCACATTGTGTTGTTTTTGGGCCGTGGGGAAATAAAATATGGACTGTCTGAAATGTCCGGTCCTGTGGTCTTTCTGCATGGAGTTAGCATGTTTTTCCTGTGGCTGTGTTCTCTCTGGGTACTCCACCTTCCATCTACGGTCCATAAACATGACTGGTGGTTATGGTTTTGAATTCTCTAAATCACGTTTAGAGGACTGTCAACCTGACCAGGCGTCTTGCTGAAAAACTGCAAGAGATAGGCACCACTGCCCCACTCTGACCCTGCATGGATGAGTATAGCCAAAGGATGTCTGGATGGATACTTATTTAACTCTGCATCCAAGTCAGTGGACAGGACTGCAGTTTATAGTCAGCTTGAGGATTTCCAATTATAGTTATTAAGTGCAAATACATCACAGTATTATCATGGCTGTGTTACAGTAAGCCATCCAGAAAAATATTTAGTTTTTTTTTTATAATTTAACCAGGATTTATGTTTTAAGATGTACATCCTCATATGTGTGAACACATTCATTTACTAGTTGTTAGTTAATGACCTGCACATAAATATTGATGACCCTTGATGCTTGACAGATACCTGTCATCTGCAGGTTTTCTATTCAAAGAACTAGAAAACCAGCTGACCTATGAGCTGAGGTTATTGGTCCTCATTGAGTCAGAGCACAGCTGATTCCACTTGTGCTGATAAAGAATGCAAATAAAAGGGAAAGGAACTTGCCAAGTGTTTCAATAGAATCATGTTGATGTTTTGTTTTGTGCTTGTGGCCCATTTGGCCATATCGACTGTTATGGCAGGTAAGAAGGTGACACTGTTTAACAGTTAGTCAATAACTGACTTGTTCATTATGTTTTCATACTTGCGTTATCTTGCCCAGGCTCTGCTGTTTTTGTTAATGGACGCTGGGTAACACAGTTGGATAACAAAGAGGATTACAATGTGGAGGAAAATACAGCTATGCCAGATGAAGGTATGTTGCGGCTTGAAATCTTCAATCTGCAAACGACTCCAGAGTCTTCTCTCCTTTTGGGTGAATATGGGTTACTTTTTGCTAAAACTTGCATGTTCCAGCTTTGGGGAGATCTTGGCGTAACTTATGTTTGTCTCCCTCAGATTCTAATGAAGATCATGACTCCACGGTGTGGAAGACTGTGGTTGTAACGGCTGTATTGCTGGTGTCTCTGGTAGGATGTCTGGGCACAGCTTATTACTTTTGCATCTGGAGAGGAGGCAGGATTCATTACATGCATCAGAAGACCTTTGCCTATATATAAAATAAATAATCCTATGGTTCAAAGTTTTAAATTTTCAGTCTCATTTAACTTGAGTTTTTTTTTTATTTAATAGGGATTTTCTCTTTGCACTAGTAAAACTGCAGTAGGTAACTTGTGAAATTTTAAACTCATCACTTGGTGGGAGGGAAGAAGCACTGCCTTCCAGTGGCATCTAGAAACAACCAATCAGAGCCGGAAGGTAGGTGTTATCATCATGTGGTTGCCCATAAACCCTCTCTTCCCTGTTGGGAATGCTCTGCTAGCTTTGGCCACAGAAGACTTGAGGCAAAACTTTCCTGCAACTATTTCTCTGCCAGCGGCAGAGTTGATTACATGGCCGTTTAGCTTTGAACGCCAAAAATGTTGTCTGCTTAAATTTATTTGCTAATAAATCCCTATAAATTTTCATTAGTCAATGTGTAAATTACAAAAACGATCTCAAAGTGAAAATGTTCTTTTGTTTCTTGCATATCAGAGACATGACATCAAAAAGCCACTAGATGTCAGTATTAACACTTATTATGCCATGTATGCATGCTGGCCAATGGTTCACAATGAAGGGTGCACTAATCCTGCCTTTGGTCATTTATTTTGATCAAAGTACAATATTTTGAATTAAAGTATTTTATAAATTTCTGGAATTTTTTTCTCCCATAATTTATTGACATTCATTAACCAATAGACCCTATTAACGTTTAGCCTCAGATGACCATAATACCTGAAGGGTCTGTACCTTTCTCCGTCACAATGATTTAAATGTTTCCTTTCAGTTATTAAATACAACTCCCATAAATTCTTCAGTAAGTCTATATTTTCTCTCATAACCATCAATCCCTCCTCTGCTTTTCGTTTAGTCTTCGTTTTTAACGTCTTGTTGGATGCCTCTGGCAAACGTTTTGGACTTCATACAAATTCATCTCGATCAGAGTTATGGCAGAAGTGGCTGTCAGGCTGTTGGCAAAAACCAGTGTACTGCTAAGAGTAGAGAGTAATGTTTTAATTCAGTGTCAGGCAAGCGAGCACAGATCAAACCCACAAACATTTATAAGTCCTCCTTGAGCAATATAAGGTGGCATTAGGGGGCCCAAGGAGACAAAAAGCTGATGAATTGAATTAATCTCCCTTGCTGTGATGGATGAGCCTGTTCACAGGGGGTTGGAAAACGCCAGCATTGTTCATCTGTCACTCCAATTGCCATGTCCCTCTATGATTTGTGCCTGTGTTGTGAAGGCCACAAGTGGCCAAAGGACCTCCCTTTCTCCTTTTCACTTGTCTCCCCCATTTCTTTTTTTTTTCCTCCAAACTCCTCAGCTGCTCATTTGCACCCCACAACTGACCCTAATATCCATATGCAAAACTAGTCTTTTCATTTCCAATAAGCTATGATAAATATCAGTCGCACTGAGCAGATTTCATGGCATAGCTGGACGGAAGACCTTAAGAATTTGTTGCATTTTCTGAATGTTGCTGAAAATGCAAGCATGTACAAGTTTAAAAGTTCAGACTTTTCAGAGCAGCGCAGCAAAGCCACTGATGTGCAGATTTTTTACTTTTTTACAATTATCACTTCAAAACAAAAGCATCATTGTACACTTTCAATTGGGAAAACGATCTCTAAAAGACCAGAAAATATAATATAAAGTACATCTGCTAATTCTAGGATTCTAAGGTACAATCCTGGATTTACCAGGTTCTGACACACCAACATGAAACAATAGGAAAAAGATGCATGGTTTAGATTTTTTATTTCCAAGGTGTTCATATATTTTCCAAGGCATGGAAGCATGTTTTAGCTAATGATTATCATTCCTCTTCGTTGTGATGTACACTCAGAAAGGAATTTTATGTTTTCTAATCTTCTGCTTCAGTCATATGAACTATTGTGGTTGATTTTTGAAAGGGTCTTTAAATAGAATCTTTGTATTTTGGGGTTTATTTAGGGCTCCTGGAAAAATAATGAATTGCACTAAATTTTATGCTACCTGCCAATTTGTATAGATAATGTGCAGTTATTATTGTTTTCTTTATGAACTTTAGACACACTCCCTTATTCTTTTGTTCTTAGTTTTCCTTTCAAAGGAAACTGTCCTGCTTAAGGCTAACAAGTGATTCAATGGAGAATCCATTTTCTTCAGTGCTTCTGTGCCAAGAGTTGATTACAAATTCAGATCTAATCATTTATCAGATAACCTGCTGCTTGAGCAAGAAAAAAAACAAAACAAAAAACAACCAAGCAATATCTGCAAGTGAATTAGATAGCTCTGCCACATAACGACTGATGGATATGCAAACTGTAATCACTGCAGAGGTGATTTGCCAAAAGCAAGAGAAGTTACATTAGACTACATTGAAGAAGACGGTCCTCCTGCCCAAGGCACTCTCAGTTGAAGATACTGTTCATACTAAGGTAAAAATACAAATTTATTTACAAATTGTAATTATTTGAGCCACCATAAAGAGATGCAAAAAAACAAAAACAATGTAGGCCTGAAGCAATGTTTAGCAAAAAATGGAGGCATGGAAACAGATGCTTGTCTTTGAGCCATGTAGAAAGCATACAGAGTAGGTAAATAAAATTAAAATTAACCTCACAAAAAAAAAACAAGCCAGAGAAGGAGTTCACAATTTATATGTTGTAGCTGTAGAACAAGAGCTGAAATATTGCTGCAGAGGTTAGACATTCAAAGCATTCAACGTAAATAAGGAGACCCGAGGCTCAAATATGTCGTTTACAGCTGTTTTGTATAAAATACAAGCTATTGCATGTTATTTATAAGAGAGTTTCACAACAGGTGATAAAGATGGTTACAGATCCTGTTTAGTCAATCTGTTCAGCCAAAATTATTACACCTGTTAGACTGATATTTAAAATTATTTGTCCTTTAACCAAGAAGCAAGAACCGAGAAAAGCACTCAAAATAAAATGATAAAAAAAATAGAATCAGTAAAAAAAAAAAAAAAAAAAAAAAGGTAATACCTTATTGGTATTACAGGAATTTCTTGTGGTTTCTGAGCTGCTTTGGGCAAGTTTTTGTTGGTATTTTGATGAACTAGCAATAGGAATTAGCTTCAAGTGTTTGACGTTCAGACTCTAATATTTAGCTCCTGCAACAGATTCTCTATCAGATTCAATTTGCAACTCTGGCTGGGCCACTCTAAAACCGTAAT